CAATTCAAAATACTGGACGTAGTAGCAGGTTAATATAGAATTTCTAAAGAATAATAAATTTAACTATATTTAAAAAAAATTTTCATTATATTTTTAGACGAAAACAATTGGCGCCTCGTTCTCGACTTGTTCGTCAATGTGATCTCTGTGATTTTTCTTCATCAACAATAAACGAATTTAAAAATCATATGAAATTCGAACACGGACAGGACGAAGTTTTTCTATGTGATACATGTCGATATTATTCATTATCTTCATATGATTTTCATGTACATCTTAATTCTCATCACAATGAATCATCTAAGTAAGATTTATTTTATTCTTATTTTTTTTTGAAAATTTTTATATATTTTTAGAAATAATCATCGATCACCATCACCACCACCAAAATTAAATCTTTCATTACAACAACCTTCAAATGTCGAATTTGAAGGTGATTTAGAAGGAGTTGATGATGATGTTGAACATCAACTTAATATTGAAGATTCAAAAGAACAAAATACAACAATATTTGATAATGATGAACAAAGTTCTGATGATGAACAAGTAAGAGAAAAAAAACGAAATTTTTTAAATATTCGCTTATTCGTCAAAATAAAGTTATCAGTTTTTATCGAAAGAGGGCGCACGTTCTCGGCATAACATTAGAAGATAAATACGAAATATTTTATTAGTTCTAGACTTAGAAAAAAAAATGAGAAATCAAATTTTTCAATAAATTGCACAAGTTTTGAGATAGAATAATATCACCAATATTCTGTGATTTTTCTTTTAAAATAAATTACATGAGTTTAAATCGAAATAATAATCTATATTTGAATAACTAAACATAAATAACCAAGTCAGTGGCGGATCTAAGATTTCGGAAGATACGGGCGTTTCCGTATAGGGGCAGGGGGGGTCGATTAAAGTGAACCCAAGTTTTTTCAATCACCGTTTACACTATCAGAGCACTTCGATAGAGTTGACTGAGGTTCACGGAGAGTGCAACTCGCTCAGTAGATACTTTTCGTGAACTTCGGTCAGCTCTATCGAAGTGCTCTGATAGTGTAAACGGTGATTGAAAAAACTTGGGTTCAGTTTAATCGACCGGCGGGGGGCGATTTCGACTAAAAATTATTTTTGAGTCCAATCGAAGTAGTGTGAACCTATGTTTGCTGTAAAGAATAAAAAAAATTCTGAACGGGCGGTAGGCGACCGCACCCGTCGCCCACCCCTAAATCCGCCCAAGCGATATATATCTACTATGATTTATTTTTCGTGTCCTATAATGATATTTTTCATTAATCGATTATAATAAATAGTCTTATCTATCAAACGATGACCTAGTACTAAGAAATAAATAATGATCTACTTTTATAAAGTTAATTTTAAACGTATGTCCTTATACAGTAGTTTCAGACATAAGACATTTATATTCATTTATATTGATAGACATATGGATAAAATAAAAAACAAAATTTGTTCATTTTCGTTTAACTTCTGTTACCAAAAATCGGATATTAAATTTCTATCTTAACT